CTGGCGGATAAAGTACCTTCCGACCGCGAAGCCGAGAGATTTTTCGGGCCGAGTAGATTGCCCGCATAGCCGCGCCCGTGGGCGGCGGTGTGGTAGGACACGGGCGGGATGATAAGACCAAAGTGCGCCGGTCGTGGCCCCCGCACATGTGGTTCTGGCAAACTCGAGATACCGGAAAGTTGACTCGGTGATCAATATCTCACTTTAGCGGGTGAGTGAGATTTGTGTAAGAATAAATCACCACCGGGTTAGGAATCGATTCGAATCGCCATCGCTGCTGGATAGTGAGCACTTGACTTGAGTGACTTCATCGTAGTAAATGTTTATGGAACACTTGGACCCTGAATATGACAAGATGGAAGTTGTTTAATGATCGCTGGTTATCATTAATTGCTTAATCACATGTTTACTCTAGTATAGATGCAAATCTAGTCGATAGGTTAATAATAATTAAGTTGACAATAATGCCTTTCAAAAGTTCTTGAAATGCTAAAATGCTTCTTTCTCGCAAATGAGTCACTACCCTACTATAAAGCCCTTCATAATCCTTGGTGTCAATTATTTTCGGTTATGTCGGGTAAGTCCATTTGAGTACCTTCTACATCTCGTGGTTTTTATTCCCACTTGTTGCGTATGGGCGTATGTATTACTACTATTGTATCAACCGCCTCTATCCCGCTATGGGTGATGCTCGGACCATGGGCATGGTCATTCCTTACGCCTCGTCTAATGCTTTTGTTGGAGATGATCATTCGCTGGCACTATATTTAAACTCCGCGTGAGTGTGTGTGGTTTGAACAAATGACTTCCGCTACTTTTATTCGAACTGGTTTGTAATAACTATGTTTAAACTCTGATGTATCTGAGATTGCGAACTTTTATGTAATATGTGATGGTGACCGCTAAACTTATTACGATCTTGGCTGGAATGGAAGTTGGTTTGAAATCCTTCGCGATTTCACGGACTACCGGATTATACGGGCTTAGGTTTGCTAAATCGTCTGCTCTGGCGGATGATTTTCTTACTTAATTTCGTATAATTGGTCGGTTCTGTTACAATCAGCCCCAACTGTAGGGGAGGCTCAAGTTACTAGCCACCCCTACAGTATCATCTGTAGGGGCGGCTGGGCTGCTGGGGCCCGAGGACGCCCACTGTAGGGGCGCCCCCAACCTCAGCCGCCCTTACAGTAAGAATGCCCCCGTTCCTACATAGGGACTCTGGCGTAGTGATGTCAGGTATTTGCTCCTTGGCACGCCTGATCATGTCGACCACCTCCACGACGTCCGCGTCCGCCACTGATCGGCTGGTCGTCAGGACCAGCTGCTCGACGATGCAGTTGCCGACTTGCCGTAGTAGCCTTTCTTGGCACCCACGTGCTTGTGCACGCTAGCCACGAACACGAGCAGGACTGGGGTCTCGGGGTCCAGCCGGATCGCACGTGTGCGGCACCGCCACAGGACGGTGACGACCCGGCGCCGTCGGCGACGCCATGGTTCCAGGTCACCCCGAGAGCGAAACCGCCGCACGAGAACTCCGTCACCTGCATCAGCAGCAAGGGCTCACTTGGGGTGCCGCAGACCATGTCTGGGTAGTACACGGCAAGTTCGTCTGCAAGCGTCCTTGCGCCTGGTGACGACTGGTCCAAGCATATGACCTCCTTCACGGCATGGTCGGTGGACGCGGCTACAAACGCCACGCCCTCGCCGCTGCACTTGATGTAGACGTCGTCGTCGTCGTCGTCATCGTAATCTCCGGTGACAATTCGACCGGCGAAAGGGTAGTAGTGGACCAATGCACGGGACAACGCGCCGCGTATGGCCTCGGCAGCGTTGGGGATTTGGATCCTCGAACACAAGCAATGTTGTGGCTGACACCTTGTACACAGACCCTTGTCAAAAGACGAGAGTTTTATGGTGCACCTCAACGTTGCCGGCTCCGGATCCGAAGCTGGCCTGTCGACCATGGGTGAGGACTTCCTCACCATCACGCTCATTGTTCTTTGGGTAGTGGTGATGTACTAAGTGATGGTGGATCTTAGCCACCACCTGTCCACCTTCTCTGGCTTAAATATTGGTGAGAGTAAAGTTTGTGAAGAAGGTGTGCCACTGTCTTACTACTATGCAAAAGTCAAACATCTTGTGGCGCCATCCTTCGATTGAAATAAAACTAACAACCAGTTGGTAAAAGCATATTCCTGCTCATACTAACATCTTACTATTACAAGTAGGGGTTTAGATGAGGCTCCACGCTAATCCTAATCCTTCCGATAAGTTTTTTTTATCAGTACCCTTACGAGAAGCAGTAATGCTATGATTAGGGCGTCCGTCCAGACGTGTGCATCCAGACGCCCCTGTTCCTGGGTGCGCAGCCACCGGGCCCAACACACAATCGGCCTTCTTCCCTCTACGCTTTCAACTCCATCTCTACCCCACGACAAAATCCCATCGACATAAATCCCCATTCGCTTTCGCTCTTTGCGGCTTCACCGCATTGGACTCCCGCCCCACTCCGCCTCGCCGCTGCGCGCCACATCTGCCACCACACCACGCCCACTCCTCCTACAGAACCTTGCCGGCGCCCACCCCACTTCGCATCACCGCTGCTCGCCACGTCTGTTGCCACGCCGCGCCCACTCCTACAAAACCTCGTCGATGCCGGCATATGGTCAATGAGTCGGACGTCTTCGACGGCACGGGAGACGACAACGACGACTTCCTCTGGGCGCTCAACAATGCGGACCTCCCTGGCAGGGACCTCGACCTCGGCATGTGGAAGCTCCTGACCGTCACGGGCGCTCTCCTTCGCTGGCGTGGCCGCGTTGCTCGGTTACCTCGTCCAAGCAGCAAGGTGACATTACGTAGCGCATGTTGCAAGCTTGTGTTTCAAGTGTTTCGGATGTTTTATCTGGATGTTGCAAAAGTAGATCGTGATGTTGCACATGTTACAATGGCTATATATATATGTATGTTTAAGTGTTTGTTCCAAATGTTTCATATGTTTTTACAGATGTTCGTTGTGAGTGTTTCATCTGGATGTTGCATATGTTTCACACGTATGTTGCAAGTGTTTTATCTGGATGTTACATATATTTGCAATGGTTTTTTTCAAGAGTTTCCAAGTGTTTGGCAAGTGTTTCAGACACATGTTGCAAATGTTTCAATTGTTTCATACGTATGTTGCAAGTGTTTTATCTGAATGTTTCAAAAATAGATCGAGATGTTGAACATGTTGCAGTGTGACCACCCGCCACAACCGCCTGTTACAGCTGCTTGGGCATCGTGCATGCTTGTGGGGAGCGGAGGGATGGAGCGCTGCTGGGAAGCGGGCGCAAAAAGCGGAGGGCGATGGCGCCAGGGGCGCAGGCTTCCCCGCGCAGCATGCGCGGGCGGCAAGCATAGGGGGCGCGTGCAATCCTGACAGAGGCACAAAGTGGGGGCGCAGTTTCCTGGGAGCAGCAACGTCAGGCGCAGAAACGGACTGCAGCCACGGGAGTCCGGACGCGTTCATCCATTCAGACGTCCGAGCACATGCAGTGTCGTACGAGAAGTGATAGAATAAAACTCAAGTCCTAGAATTTTCAAAAGATTAGAAACAACTAGCCTTTAATTTAGTAAACAATAATCATCACATAATGCAATTATTTCTAGTGGTGGGCCTCTTAAGAGTGCCACCTCTATTAACTCAATTTCTAGAAGGGAATCCTAGCAATACCCACCTCTAGTAATAACAAATTTTAGAGTCGGACATCTTAACAAGTCTGCCTTTCTTAATCAATTAATAGAGGTGGGCATCCTAAGATGACAAACTCTGTAAATAATCGACTAAAAGAGGTGGCGATGCCCGTCCTACAAATGGTTAAGAAAGGTGGATATTTGCATGATATCTGGCTGACCGAGCTGACTAAGATGCCACCTTTGTTAGTTAGGGAGTTTATCTCTTGAAATACTATTTATAGTAGTGCATCTAGATCTAGATCAAAACTATTCACCATTCATGGATGGTACTCACAGCATCCATACTTATGAATTTGATGATATATAATTGAAAAAAAAAGCAAGTGAAGCTACTCAATTCAACAAATTTTGGATAATATGGTGCCAAAAATAGCGAAATGTCATTCATTCTTTGTACGGACCATGAAAAAAACTAGCTGACCAGCTCCAATTAAGCCACAAATTATTGAGAGAACTTCTAAAAAGACATTGGTTAGCCATAAACTTACCTCTTAAGCAATTCTCTTGAGGAAATGAATATCAAACCCCCTCCCTTCCCTTATATTTGGCAATTCTCTCGAGGAAATGAATATCAAGGAGTCAAACATTTAAAGATGGCTTGACCTGGAAGCTAGTATATGTTAGGGAAGAAGCAATTTATATAGAAATAGTGTTGTTAGCTGGTTGTACCAACCTTTAGTGTAACACGTTTGTACTGGCGTTCACATAACCATGCCGCTAGTATAAATAGGTCAATCTCTACTGACGACTGGCGTAGAAGTGCCTATCTCTTCTAGCAGCTGCTTAAGTCAACCTTCAATGGAATTAGACGCATTGATACTGGCGGTTTGACCGGGTGACAATAATTGTCGTAAGTTGTACTAGCACCACGAATTCAGTTGAAATGCTTCACCAAATTCAGCTCCTTTTGTCCATACTGTAGCATAAACTAGAGGTCTAGGGCTATAAGAACAGTCTTAGGGCCTGTTTTGTAGAGCTTCAGCTTCGAGATCTATGTTGGAGCTACAGTTTGTATTATGTTGGAGCTACAGTCTGTAGGCTAAGTTAAAGTAGTTTCAATATTTAGATCTGATCTAAACAATGAACAAAATGAGTTATATAAATGCACTTAACACTGTAGCTCCAGATCTAAGATTTCCTAGAGCTATGAATAATCAGCCCTAGATTTTCTAGAACTAGAGATCTGCTAAACAGAGCAAACATTTCTAGGGACCATTGTAACTAACTCCTAAAAAAAAAAGAACAAGGTCAACAAACGTACGGCCTTAATCCATCTGTCCCTTTATGATCTCGGTGGTGGTCATCTTAATGAGATCCCACGCGCTCCGCACGTGCCTCTCCTCCTGTAGCGTCGAACCCACCGCGAACCTCAGCACGAACTTGCCACCGATCACGGTGTTGGCCAGGAACACCCTCCCGCTCCGGTTCAGCCGCTCCATGAGCTCCCGGTTGGCCGCCTCGGCGTCCTCCTCCGTCATGCCGGCGGTGGCACTCGACCTGATCCTGAAGCAGACGAGCGCGAAGTTCCTCGGAACGACGACCTCGAACCGGTCGTCGGCGCGCACGCACTCCTCGAACACCTTCGCCATGGCGACGTCGCTGCGGATGTGCTGCCGGAGCTTGGCGGCGCCGTAGGTGCGCATGACCATCCAGAGCTTGAGCCCGCGGAAGCGGCGGCCGACGCCGACCTGCATGTCCTTGAGGTCGGTGACGGCGCCGGACTCGCTGGCGTCGTTCCGCAGGTACTCCGGCCGGGTCTCCAGGGACTCGGTGAGCCGCCGCGTGTCGCGCACCCACAGGCAGGTGCAGTCCAGGCACGTGAGCAGCCACTTGTGCGGGCTCAGGCTGACGGAGTCCACGCGCTCCACGCCGTCCAGGTGGTGCCGGAACTCCGGGCAGATGCACGCGCTGCCGGCGTACGCAGCGTCGACGTGCACCCACGCGCCGAACGCGGCCGCGGCGTCGGCCGCGGCGCCCACGGGGTCGACCGCGTTCGACGACGTCGTGCCGACCGTCACGCACACGTACGTCGGCACGAGCCCGGCGTCCGCGTCGCGCCGCATCGCCTCCAGCAGCCTCGCCGGGTCCAGCGCGTAGTCCGTGTCCGCGCCGGTGGGGATGGACCGGATGTTGGCCGGGTCGAAGCCGGCGAGACGGCACGCCTTGAAGAAGGTGGAGTGCGTCTGGTCAGGAGCGTACACCGTCAGCCGCGTGATCCCGGCCATGCCGTCAGAGCCGCTTCGGCGCAGCGCGGCGTCGCGGGCCGCCACGAGCGTCACCAGCATCGCCTCGCTGGTGGTGCCGAGGATGACGCCACCGCCTATAGTGCCAGTGCCTGCAGTGCCATTGCCCGTGCCTCCCCTCCCAGCGGCAGCAGCTGCAGCGCTGGTGTGGCGGTTCATGAAGCTGTCGGGCAGGAGGAGGAGCTGCGCGAGCCAGTCGAGCGCGAGCGCCTCCAACTCGGCGGCGGCGGGGTTGGCCTGCCAGGTGAACCCGACGGTGTTCATCGCAGAGGCGACGAGCTCGCCGGCGATGGCCGCGGCGCTGTTGGTAGCGGGGAAGAAGGCGAAGAAGTTGGGGCTGGCCCAGTGCGTGGTCCCGGGCACCACAGCCTCGCGCAGCTCGTGCATGGCGACGTCGAACGGCGCGGCGGCGTTCGGCGGCGCGGCCGACTTGAGCTGGCGGACCAGGTAGCCCGGCTCGACGCCCGGGAGCACGGGGAGGGACTCCACGGACTTGTAGTAGTCGTAGACGAAGTCCACGGCCTTGTGGAGGTAGGACCGGACGTCGTCAGCGTTCAGCGGATCGAAGCGGTCGGTGTCGGCGGCGAACGCAGCGGCCATGGCGGAAGGGTTGGTGGAAAGGCTGCCCATGTCCGTTGGTTTGATGATCGTTACTGACCTAGCTAGCTAGCGGGTAAAATTTCAGTATCTGTCGGAAGCAATTCAGCAAAGCTCGATCGATCGAGCTGTGGTCTGTGGATCGGAAGAGAGCAAGAAGAAGCAGTTAGGGGAAGGGAGATGCTGTGTGGTGTGATGCATGTGGACGCTGTGGTGCTGGTGTGGTGCTGGTGCATGCATGATTTATAGCCAAACGGAGATAACATGGCTTACCACTCTCGAGAAGAGTTCCACGTCACCTGAGAGAAGATAACATTTGCGCTGTCAGAACCTTGGGACCATTGTGGTTCACTGATAATAATACTATTGACAGTGGTCATGGCCAAGGTGTTCTGCGGCACTTGTTTTGGTCGGCATCAGTCTTTGTGGCAAGTCTAACACCAGACCAAGAGAAGGCTCTCGGTGACAGGGGGCATACCTCGGTGGAGCTTTGACGTGGACTTAAAATTACATTTTGGTAAGGATACATCACCTCATCTTATGCTTTTTCGTACCTCCATACTTGAGCTCTTTAGTTACAACATTAACATTTCCACACGCCAAGTCAGGATAAATGCCGGTTTGGCCTACTTTCTTATCTAGCTAAGCCTGTTTGGAATATTGGGCTGAGCCTATATCCAAACCCAGCTAGCCGGTTTTGGCAGATTTCAGCTTGGGAGATTTTAGAGAAAAAGGCAATACCCAAGCGAACAACCTCTAAAATCTCTAAAATTTCATACGTTGCTTGCCTACCCCACGGTGAAAGTAGTCCCAAGAGATCTTGCAAAAATACTTGGGCTTCAACAAGAACTTTGATTTTTCCTCTCTCAAACTCGAGTTTTAACAAGAAAACTGAAAATTGTATGTTTGAGGTGCCCGTGCGAAATTTGTTAAAGGGCATACCTAATATTTTACCCTAGCACCTAGAAACCAACCAAGAACATCTCAGAAACTACGAAATCCACCAAAAAGGGCAAGAAAGGAGAGTTTCTAGTGTGGGGAACTTGGGTTACTGGTATATATAATACCCGTGCTAACGCTACGGCAGCACATAACCAGACAAATCAAATAACTAAAAGGCTAAATCCACCATTGTCCTCAAGCTCAAAATACAACAACTGAAAAGAGAAGTGTCAACAGACTTGTTTGCTGCAATTATACAATATCAAGTACTTGGTTCATTTTAAACGTTGTATGCTGCGACAATATCAACAACCGAAGAGAATCAGCTAATCATCTACCGACTACCGTAATTTAATGACAATGGAAGTGAATAATTTTTCCACTAAAGATGTAGACATTCAGTAAATAAGAACATAATAGGTTACTTCATGGAACAATACATTTAAAAGAAGACAACCTCCACCACACGCGCCTCATCCCGGCGGTGGTGGTCTCCTCCCGCAATGTCGCACAGGAGGACTACCTCGTCCCACGCGCCCGCTCCACTCGCTGGCTCAGGCTGGACCACTGGGGGACAACGCTCCTCTCGTCGGATTGCCCCCGCGTCAGCCTGCAAGCCAGGGTCCGTGCCCGCGCCGGCCACCCGAGCCAGCCAATCCATTGACCAATTTATCAACATACTTCAATTTTGAATTCTAATCCATGAAGGGAAGTTGGCACAAATTGAGATGCACAAACTTAAGGGATTGATCAAATATGTTTTATAAAGCTACAATATGACATTCTCTTACTCATGAAAATTACTCAAATGTGATTATAAAGCTGCAATACGACATTTACTCATCTGCATGTTTAAAGAGATTGTATAAAGAAATTTTCATATGCAATACTGTGAGAATATAGTGAGAAGCACAATGAATCCACCATACAATAGGTTCTGTCACTTCACACGGGAAACATCAATGCCCTTTAGCCAAGAAGAAACTTCACATAGTATTAAAATCAGAAATTCAACATCCCTCGCAACATAGAGTATGAACAATTGGAAGTAGATATCATCAAAGTGACCTTGGTTCATAATCCAAAAAATATTGCAAGCCTTACTAGGAGGGACGTGGCCTGATAATGACTATATGAGGAGGGGATATACATTTGTTTTTTGACTCATTCCTTGTCAACTAAAAAAAATAAATCAACAAGTTCAAGATCCTCCTTCCTGCAACAGAGCACAACTGTTTATTTCAGATGCAGCAAACTCTGTTTATAGAAAATTTTACAAAATGATGGTCAAATTACTAAAGAACGGAAATAGAGGTTAGTGCAAAGGTACATCTCAGCCAATATACTCATGGACATGGGATACATATACCAAAATGGAGCACCAACTGCTGCCTGCAATTACTTTACAAAACTAAAAAAAAAGAGTTACACCAAGATTGCAATTTCTAAAAAATCGACTTCAATTAATATTACCCAAAAATCATGTGTTGTCGACCTCATGCTGATGTTGGAAGGGAGGAAAGAAGGGCAGCAGCCGGTCGCAGGAGGAATTGAGCAAATCTTGGGCCTGGTGGATGCTACAATACTCACTTTGAGTGGTCATGCTTACTTTGCTGCTATTCAACCACAGGCACAATGAGGCAGTATATATGAGTACATAAGAGTTGATCTTTTAAAAAAAATGGTAAACAACCATTCTTTTTTTTTATTGCCTCAACCTTCGAATACAAGTTAACCTTCGAATACAAGTTGTAGTATCTAAACACACACCACACACCATATGCACACACTAGACCTACAACCTATAGTCTTGAAGAACACGGCTCAGAGATATGACAGTTGTGGTCCATCCGTGGGAGGCATGTGACATGCTGGAAAATTAGGAGAGAACCCCAATGGGAAACATGGACGACCGGCTGGAGCGAATGTCGTCCGAGCTACCGCTCGTTCCCGGTAAACAATCATTCTAATTCACTGTTCAACGGAATCCGACAAATGATATGCCAATTTAGCTCCCAACCAACTGCAGCTTCACTTGTGATATTGTAATGCACTAAAAATAGAACCAAATAGGAAATACCACTGTAAAGTTAAAAGTAAACAAAATGCTACATTACACAATGTAGACCAAATTAATAAATATGTAGACATTTGGATGAATATTTATTTTAATAGCTTATCAAGCATGGAAAATGTTCCCTTAACAAACAGCATAGCAATGACACTTAAATTTACTTCGTGTTTTTACTAGTACTACATGATAATAAATTTCATAATTCATTATTTTAAATAAGTTTATACATTTTGATTATATCATATCATATCAATATTGTCAATTTAAATTTAAGCGCTCTGTTTTATAAAAAAAATCCTACTTCATATATATTCTATGATATAACAAATTCAAAACGATGAGGAATACGTGCAATCTGAGATGACTATTTATACCATTGTAATAAGAATTAAGAAAACATAGGACCTACAATATTTTCAATAAAATAAAAGATTCAATAAGCTCTAGATTTCAAACTTAACATGTGGATAAAAAATCAACAACTAATTAAAAGTGGAAAACTAAACTATAGATTCATGATGTCGAAAAAAGGATGCAACAAGAGATTATATAACTTACCGCGCTAGGGGAAAAAATAAATCTTAGAAATTCTAACTTGAGGTCCTAATGGAACCTCCACATAAATTTCCATAAGACCCCTTAGAAAACAATTGATAAATCCTAGAAATTCTCCCAAAAATTAGAAACATCTGCTCATTAATTCAATAGACTCTTAACACCATTACATTATTAATAATAACAATTGGACCTATTATATTTTTAAAATGGTTATCCACTACTATGATTGTGTAAAACAGCACAAAGTAACCCTTGTATCTATATTTAAATTATCGATCTATATACCATTAAGAAACTTGATTTAAAGTTAATCTAAATTTGCAACTAATTACCTACCTGCTATTATAATTGATATACCCTTGGTTACCCATAAAATTTGAACTAAATTACCACTTCTATCATTATTAAAAAAACTAAAATATCCCCGCAAATCGACATTTATGTAACCATAAAACATATATATTTCTACATTACCAACTCCTATTAATATCAATATATGAAAATTTGATTCATGTGAACATATGTGTATTGTGCCATCAAGAAAATCAACTACATATTCATATATAAGCTATAAATATATATGATATGTTTTGGCAATCATAAAATATATTCCTTAACAACTCATACACTAATGATACTAACATTTTTTTCAAATTATATTTATAACCATGACATACAAGTTATGTAAGTTCTTAGTCTAGAAATGTTTATACATTTTTTAACTAAAACATCTAAAAATTTAAACACCTTGAGAAGTGGGGAGGTTAGTGAAGACCGCAGTTGGCTACATTTTTCTAGCCTTTGAGATTACTTTGGAGTAAAAATCATTATTAGGCTTAGATATTAATATATCCTCTTGAGATAACACTGTTACCCATCTTTGGTCTTAGTCCGAACTCTTGTGCTCATTTTGTAGTAATAAAAAGAAAGTATGCAATAATTAATAAGGTTAAAATTTAATACCAAAATTTTGATTTATAAGGTCATAAGACATGGACGATAACAAGAGCCTCTATGGTTTAAGCTAAGATTTCAACTAAATGTATATTGAAGATACACGTACAGAGCTATCAGGCAAAGAAAAAACACTAAGGATATGGGTGAAGAACACTAAGCATATCGAGGCCCAGATAATAAAAAAACGATTTCTTTCGTCTGCAGCTTGTTCTATCTGTGGCCAACACAGGGACTCAAACATGGCAGATGTGCTAATGTCTTTATTGTTTTTAGTTTGCACAGTTCAACATATATAGCAAGTTAGCAATCCATGTCAAAAGCAAGCAATAATTGCAGCTAATTGATGAGAAAGAGGGAGCACAGTGTATGACAATGATCACATGCAGCCCTTTGGTTTAATCAAAAGTTTATAAGGGCACCTGCAATAGTAAGAGCTACTTACAAGTTACGCATAAGACAACTTCTCTAATAG